CGCGCCGCAGAGCCTTGGGGCTGGGGCGGGACTGCGGGCCCATCGCCCTGACGCCGGGGCAGCGGGGCCGTGCGCACATCGGGCACCGAGCGCACTTCTTTCCTGGAGCCCCAAACCCCGGGCTCGTGCGGTCACAGGCACCAGGTGGAACCGTTCGAAGCGGGGGCATGGGGACATGGGACGTGGGCCCCGAGGAAGCCGCACATCACAGACCCTTTTCCCCCTATGCGCCCCACGCTGCCTCCAGCTGGTGACCTGCCTGTCGCCGCGCGCGCGCACTCCCACTCACAGAGCCCGCTACCCTCCCCCGAAGCAAGGCTCCGGCCGACCTCAGGCAACGATGCCGTCTGTAAGAGCTCTTCCCAGCCCCGCTGCAGGCTCGGCAAACGGGTCTTGTTGACTAGGAGGGACCCGCGGGCCCGCGTCCCCAGGGTCGGGAACAGCACGCGCCACGCGCCCGCCACGCTCCCCGGCGCCCCGCGCCTGGCCTCCGCGTCTCTCCGGCCGCAGCCCCACCCTGCCCTCCGACACCTTGCCCGGGCTCCCAGCGCCCTGGGTCCGCTCCTCCTCGCCGCTCTCTAGCCCACGGTCCACACTTACCATCGACTCGACGCCCTGCCCATGCTAGCGGTCACCGTGCGCCCCTACAGGGCCGTGGGAGCATGGGTTCGGAGGCCACCCCTTGCCCCACCTTCAGGCATCCCCTCCCGCTCACCCCTGGAGCTGCGGTGTCCCCTCAATCCCCTCCTCTCTCCCATCGGGACACCAGCTTCCCTCCAGCACCAAGCCTTCGCTTCAGAACTTCGAAGGACTGCCATTCCTTCCGGATCCGTGTGGTTTCCAGGGCAGCCACAACAACATGGCCCTGGGGCAGTGTGTTGTCCCGCAGTTCCGGAGGCTGGGAGTCCGGGTCAGGTGTGCTCAGGGCTGGGCTGTCTCCTTGCTCTGGGGAAGGTCCTTCCTTGTACCTCCTGCTCCTGGTGGCCCCAGCTGTGTTCCCTTGTGACTCTCTGGTTCTGCCTTTCTGGTAAGACACCACTCAGAGGCCATTAAAACCAGTTGCCATC